GTCTTTAGCTTAAGTTGTTTTTTCTTTAGGTAAAGACTGACTGCGTCACTTCATTTTGTGCTGCCACTGATGTAAAAGCCAAATGTCAAATAAATATTTTTCTACAGTGTACATTTAAGGAATGGCAAGATAAAATATGAATGAAATTCAGATATCGCATACCTTAGCTGTGTTTAAACATATTATAAGTCAACCGTGACGTCATCACTGCAACTCTCTAATTTGCCTATCTCCCACAGTCCAATAAGGTTTCAATAGTGGACGCTTGGCTTGATTTTTTTAGGCCCCACACGACGATAACCTTAACGTTAACGGATGACGTCATAATTTATTCATCTTGCGTTGCGGAATACGTTAATTTCAGGATTTTACCACTGATCGCTACTATAATAGCTGGATTGCTCATCGGCCAATCCTGGTACAGAAAAAAGTGACGCCTCCGACGCCATGTTGGAGGGCCTAAGTGACGTAACATTTTAGACAAGTTTCTTTTGGCATTTGTTTAAATTATTGTTAAAAATAACGATTCTTGCAAAACCTTTTAATAATAAATTTAAATTTAACGTAATGATTGTGTTATCACTATAGAAAAACCGAAACGTCCACTGATTAATCTCAGATAAGAAAGTATAATACATACTCCAAGTATTGAAATGCACGCCATCACCACAGGTTATCGCCATCACCATAGGTTATCACACATAAAGACGGCCGACATGATATTTTCCGTTGCTAGTATTGACACATGTGAAATATAATATTTCATAAGAATTATTTCAAATCTGTTAAAAAAAATGATTTTGACCGAGATTTAGACAAAGAAACATATCTCAGGGCTACTCGATCGATCGCAGTGTGCGAGATGCGAAGTACAAAAACCAAATTCATTAGAGAGGGCGCACTTTATGGACTGTATAAAGTATAAGTATAAATAAAAGCGAGAGCATTCCAGCGGATGCGATCTGAATTTGCCTAGTAACGAAGAATTCGGCGTCGAGAAAATGGTAATCTCCTATGAGAAATAGTCTGTATTTCTCTTTTTTTTTATTCTTTGCGTAAAACTATAATTTATGCCAATATTTTTCCATCCATATAAATATAGAGTAATTATTAAACGTGTAGGCTGCCGGCACTGACGATTAGTGCCTAAACATTTTTCCAAAAAAACGTGATGCAATAATGACAAAATGATTATTATTGTACATTTTCGGTTAATATTTCAGCCGCTCCAAATTTCTTTCCTATTCTTCCTTCTTCATACTTCTTCAAAATTATTGTAATATGTTATACTAAATACATATTTACGCATAATAATTTATTAACAAATTTAAATATTTAAATATAAACTATGAAAGTAAATACACGTAGATTTAATCAATAAGAATGGACATAGTAGTAATCTTTATCTATTCATTAACACGAATAACATTTTCAATCTTCTAATCAATTTAGCCGGAGTTAGCTTCGACCTGGGCAAACCTTTGCTAAATAGGTACACTTTATCAAAAGGATTCTTCTATGAATGGAATGACCTGTTCAACGAACCACGAACTCCAGTAGACCAAACCCAGTACCGTTACAATTTTTAATCGTACGGGAAATCCACTCATAATGCTACCTATTTATTTATTTATTTTTCTTTGTCAAACAGTTCCCATTAAAAGGAAAATTAACACCGAGGTGCGATTCTAACTCGCGACCTACGGTTAAGGATGTCTTCTAAAGTTCGAAACGCGTTTTGGTATTCAATTTTTTCCCCCGATTTTAAGAAATTTTATTTTAACTTTGTACAAATGATCATTTTAAATAATGTTTTTTTTTTTTTGTTTTTTTTTTGTACAAACATTCTAATTATTTAAAAATGACTGTACGTCATTTCCATTACCACTAATAGGGCACGTCGCATACAAGTCACGGTCGGTAAAGAATGTGCTCGAAACGCGTCTTGGTATTCAATTTTATTTTTCAATTTATTTATTTATTTCAATTTTGTACAAATGATCATTCTAAATGTCTTTTTTTTTTTGTACAAATAAACATTATTTAAAAAATTCTATCTTATTAGCTCTTCCAAAAACACAATAGTATAATAATTTGCGCCTTTACCGTATCTAAGCACGGAGGAACGCGCGGACCTGGTGAGCGGTCGCTCTTGTTAACTAGATTTTTGATGTGCATACGTTTTAGCATATTATTGTATGCCATTTTAGTGGTTTTATCCCTTGCATATTGCGTACCTGCATTGTAAAGCAAGAATTTTCAGTTCTAGGCTGCCGCCTTATTTTCTTGTAAATACTAAGCATTGATTGAATGGACATTTGAAGCATAAACACACACCTGTAGCTTCCTTTTCTAGAAAGGGGTATTTTAATAAGATTAGAAAAGCTGATGATGGACGTTATGTTCAGATATACACAAGTTCAGTAAGGTTGCACTATACACACATTTTTCAATTTCCCCTCCCCAACATTTCCTCAAACATTGATGAAATAAAATTGATGTTCATTATGGATACCAAGGTGATGTAATTTATACACATGGGCCTATGCTGACCAAAATATTTAGGTGTCAACTGCAGCTGCATTCAACACCTAATTGGGGGCTATACTCTATGAAAACATTTATTGCCGATATTAGAATAAAAATCCAGTACAGTGTTACCAAAGAACTTATATAGCAGCATGAGTAATTTCACGTATGATTAAAAATCAAAACGGTGCTGGGTTTGATCTACACAGGAGCTTATGCTTCGTACAGGTCAATTCCATTCATAGAAGATGCCTTTAATGGGAAAAAAACGTACCTGTCAGCACTTATTAGCCATAGTAGCCAAGGCCAAAACATAACTCCGGCTATATAAAATTGATTTTATGATTGAAAATTGTTAAACTTAACAATGTCAGGATTACTGTAAGTCCACCTTTATTTTTTTTTTCTATTAGTCTGTATTTATTATACACTGTACAGTACTTGTATTTATATATATTTGTTCAAGTAAAGAATTATGTCCATGTCTAAAATAATCTTCTATTTGTTCAAAATTAATATTTTCTATTGCATGAATATGAAGTGTTTTCAAGAATTTATGATTTGAATTAACGCTTATAAATAATGTGTAATACTAGAATATTAAATTAAAGTAATATAATTGAATATGTATGTAATTTTGTTATAGTACAAAAATAATATAGAAAGTAGAAAAAAACAACAATATCTGGAGCAGCTTAGCCTTGTACAAAAAGTTATATAATAATGATAATTGCTCTCAATGGCATAGAAAAATATTTTTCATTGGGGGGGGGGGGGGATTGGCGGGTTAGCCAGGGTCGTAGGCGCGGGTAATAAGAGAAAAGAAAGAGGGGAGAGGGAGGGAAAGAGAAAGAAGAGGAAAAGAAAAGGAAAGGAAAAGAAAAAGAGAAGATAAAAATAAAGACAAGAATAAAAAGGTAGATATCATAATGACCAGACTCACAACACCCTGCAACCCCTTCTCCACTTCAAAAACTGTCATAACTCCTTTGATCTATGCTGCCCGATGGCGTAACCACTGGGGGACAAGGGGGAAACATCTATCTTTGGAAAATCTTCCTCACCCCTTTATAAATGCCCTATTCATCCCCTGAAAGTGCCTAAAAAATCTCAAATTTCGTATTTCTTGTTAACATGGGCCAATTTCCTCTAAAAATTGCACATTTTAGGGAGTTTAGATCAATTTCAACGACATTAGAATTAAAAACACCGGGGGACAAGGGGTAAATATCTATCTTTGCAAAATCTTTCCCCACCCCTTGACAAATGCATCCTCTGAAAGTGCCTAAAATTCTCAAATTCTTTGCGCGCATTTCTTGTTACGGTAGGCCAATTTCCTCTATAAATTGCACATTTTAGGGAGTTTTCATCAATTCCGACGAAATTAGAATTAAAAACACAAAAATATTTTGCGCGATTCGCGCGCATTTTTTGGGCTTTTTTAGGTTTATCCTTTTAAGTTATTTAAACACATAATAGTCCCAAACTCAAAAAAGACAAATTTAAGATAGATCGTTTTAACCTAAAAGAAGGACCTCAATGTGTATTGATGGTGAAAGAATATGTTTGTAATAAATAAAACCATGATGAAAATGCTTATATTTAGTTTCAAACACACGTGTGTGGCCTATATTATAAATAAGATAAGCCCTATGTCGTATTGTTTTCTTTATGGGGAGTTGGGTGTGTATGGTAAATTACTAACCGGGGAAATAAATACCCACTCTGACCCAAGACCCCTGTTACGCGCCTGGTGTTAGCGCCAATGTGTGCCCTTGTGCGGAATAATTTTGTTATCAACATTAATACATTATGCTAATTTTCATCTTTGTAACCGCATAAGACAGTGCAAATTATTTCTGTGACAGTCTTTTGAAGTGGGTAAAGCTCCATTTTATCCCATACATAGTCAAAATATTGGGGGNNAAATATTGGGGGGGGGGGGGAGATGATACAATGGACCATCCCCCTTGTCAAATATTGGGGGATATATCCCCCATCCCCCGGGATCTACGTCTATGATTGCTCTTTATTATATTTTACGTGTTTTTAGTAATGTTTGTGCACTAATCCTCAGTGACTAATAATACATCAAGAAGAGGACCTTGTAAGTTAATTAGAATCTGGAGCTGATAATAAAATCACAGGTTACAAAAGGGGAATTTTTCAAGCTTTGGTAATAACTTAACGATGGATTTTAGTCCAGTGGAACAATCTGCCTCTTAACATTTGGTCAGCTGAAACATTGCATACATTTAAAACTGAACTGAAAACACATCTTTTTGATTGTGCCTTTCAATTGTGAAATTTTTGGAGTATAGAGAATTAAAGCGCTTCTGAATAGGAAACTAGATTTTGGCACTATACAAATATTGGATTGGGTTGGATTTGGATTGGATTGGTTAGCATTTTACCAGCCAAATAGCATGAGGTGGTAGAAAAAAACTTCTAATTGCCACTGTGCTGGGAAACATTTATTTTTGAAAAGACATACAATACAAAGAACATATATGTATTTAAAACTGAATTATACCAACTTTAATATGTTGTACTAAGAACATCCTTACATAATAATATACATTAATTTTCAATTTTTACAAAAGCATTAAAATTTGTAATTATTTTAACTTTTACAGAAAGCATCAGAATTTGTTTTAAATATCTTATAATGTCTAACCATTTCCAAGACTATGTTTTCCGTCGGGTAATGTGGTCATAAATGACAACTTGGATATACTGAGGGCAGTCTATTGGTGTTCTGGTTGAGTTGTCTCCTGGTGTAGGAGCCTGTTGAGAAGACAAAAAATTATAAATGAACAAATATGAAGAATAAAAATTATATTAATCCAAATTAATGATGAAAAATATTTGTCCTGGCAGAAGACAATCAATCAGAAAAAGAACACATGACAGTTCAGTGTAGAATTATTAATTATAAATTTTTTTTTTTAATTTTGGTCAATAAAATGAAGATAATGAAACACCTGGCACAATCAAAATGCAAAAACACTGAGGGGGTAGCAATTGAATGATTCTTATTGGCTGAATTATTCTTATTCAGCCAGCCCTTAGCGCAAAAAAAAATTATGTTTTGTGCGGTGCTTATTTTGAGAGCATTGCTTAGGTTACACTTGTATGGAATGAGGATTGAATAAGTTGCTGACATACCTTCGGATCCACATTTAATATTTTTCTGTCTCGTTTGTTCTTGAATAGCAGCCCTGTTGCATTCTCGGCAATTACTTGATAGTTGGGGGTTGGATTTGATGTTGATGTTTGTGTTTCCCAATTGTAAAAACTAGAATTTTATTATAAAATGTGGTGAGTGATTCTCAATTCTTTATTTACTAAAGTGTTCGCTTAAAATGCATATATTTTTTTATTCTTTAATATCATAAAATATATTCTATTTGAAAGTTGAATTGTCATATAAACAGAGTGTGTTTATCAACAGTGTTTGCCTAAAATGCATACTTTTTTCTTTAATATTATGAAATATATTTTTTGAGAAATTTGAATTGTCATATAAACAGAGTGTGATTATAAACAGCGTATGCTTAAAATGCATATCTTTTTATTCTTTAATGTTATAAAATATGTTTTTAGTGAAATTTGAATTGTCATATAAACAAAGTTTGTTTATAAACAGTGTTTGCTTAAAATGCATATTTTTTCAATACTTTACTATTATAAAATATTTATTTTTTTTTGTGAAATTTGAATTGTCATATCAACAGTAATGTGTTTATAAACAGTGTTTGCTTAAAATGCATATTTTCTTATTCTTTAATATCATACAATATATTTTTTGTGAAATTTGAATTGTCATATAAACAGAATTGGATTAGAATAAAATAATAAAAGGATAACAGTTTGAGTAGGATATCTTTCCAGAGTATTAATCCATCTTAACAAGTGACCAATCAAAACAGTGCCAGAAATATGTGCTTCTCACAAACACACTA